CTTCCTAGGGCAGGTGTTAGACCAGGGAACTGCAGGAGTATAAAAGCACCAGGGCTGGTCACACAGGCTGGCCTGAGGTCACTCTGGGATGTGAGCAAGTAACTCTGTCTCTGGGTGCCTGCACTGCTTTACTCTTAAAATGAAGCTAATAGCAGTACCTCCCTCTGAGCACCGTTGTGAGGCTTTGACAAGTTAATCTATGTGAAGGGCTGAGCAGTAGCTGGCATATCGAAGGACTCAGTGTGTGTGAGCAATGATCATTGCTCATATTTCTGCAGACATTTGTGTTTGAAAGATGGAAGAGACAGGCTCCATTTCAGTGGTGGCCCCATCATGTCTGCTAAAGAAATCCCTGCAGAGCCAGAGTCCTGTGCCCTATTAGCAGCAGCCCGGTCCAAGCTGCCTGCTCTGCCAGGGCAGAGGTGGGTCGCTGGCTGTGAACTCCCTGTTCTGTTCTCTTGGGTCGGAGTGGTAGTAACGGAAGCCAAAGAGGAAGGGCACATAGCAGACAGGTTCCAGCCCTCTGAAGGTGTCTGCGTGCTGATCCCGGGAACCTGTGAAGATGTTAGCTATACAGCAAAGGGGTCTTTGCCAGTGGATCAGGTTAGAGACTTTGAGATGGAGTGAGTGTCCCAGATGATCCAGGTGGGCTCAGTGTGGTCCTCAGGTCCTCGTGAGAAGGACGCAGGAGGATGAGAGGCAGAGAGAGAGGTGTGACGACGGAGGCAGCGGGTCAGAGGCAGAGAGAAGCTGAAGGTGCTGCGTAGCCGGCTTTGGGGGTGGGAGAGGAGGCCAGGGCACAGGGACAGAGCGAGGCAGGGGCCTTCAAAGGGAGCATGGCCCACTGACACCTTAATTTGGCCCCGCAAAATCCATTTGCACGTCTGACCTCCAGAACTGTGAGATAGTAAATCTGTGAGGTTTAAAACCACAAAGTGTGAGGTTATTTGTTAGGGAAATAGGAAACTAGTTAATGGTATTAGGAAACTAATTAACACAAGACGTTTCAAAATGTTGAACTGGAAAGACCCAGGATATTCATTTCAGTTTTGCATCAAGTGAATGGAACACTCTTGCCAGCAAAGGCTCTGAAGGGCGGAGAGATGTCCCTGACAGGAAGGAAGTAGGCGTCCATGGGTTTCCTCCTGGGGACTGAGAGGTGGGCAGATGCGCAGGAAGAGGGGAGGAGGCCGTGAAAGGAGTGACCCGAGGGCTTGGCAGCAGAGCAGGGCCCTTACCTGGTCTCCTGTGAGGGGGCACCTGCGGGCTGATGGCGTTGGCCCCCATGATGACATACTCGTAGTGGACCCCTGGGTTAGGCTGCTGGTGTATCATCTGCCAACACAAAGGGCAGTGTCACTGCACTGGCACAAACGCAGGCCCTTTCCTGCCGCTTTAGGTTCAGCGGCATACGTGGCACTATCTAGAAGTGAGTGGGTTGACTGACAATCGGTAATATCCGCAGACCTGCGGCAATTAAATGAAAAGTATTACAGGCAGCTTCTTGATTTGCTTTTGAAAAATGAAGAATTTAGAAGAAAACTAGGCTGAAAGTCAAGATTTTATAAATTCCAAATAGGAAGAGGGGAGCAGTGGTAGTGGAACCTTTCTGTGGGCGGTTGGCTCTCCTATACTGTGGTTTAGATTTTGCTCAGTGCTTTCAAAACGTCCAGAACAGATCCGTCTATGCTGCGGAGAACCCATCTGAACACTAGGTGGCCAGACAGAGTCATGCAAAGCGGGGCCAGACTCCGGACATCCCCCCGGAACCCTTCAGGCCCTTTCCGAGCCTGCGACCGGGGCGGGAGGCTGACTCAGGACAGGTCCGCCCAAGCCAGCCCCTTGCTCACTCTCTGGGCCTCGTCTCCTCTCTTCCATAGAAAGCTCCAGAACCACAAGGAGATGAGGTCAGGAGGACAGGTCTAAGGGAAGCAAGCCTCCCTGGGTCCCCTTCTCGCAGGGACCAGCAGCGAAGGCAGAAGAGCAAGCAGGAGGCTGCCCAGGGCTGCTGAAGTCAACAACTGCACACTGCCTGGGCTGGAAACACAGAATGGATCAGCCTGACGCAGCGGAATAAATCCCTCCCTACTGGCTTCAAGCACAAAGTCCTTTGTGCGCGTGGCTTTGCTGGTGGGGAGCAGGGTGGTGGGCTAAGTGGGGCAGCAGACCGGGAATCCGCAGTGTCAGTACGAGCCAGGCCAGGACACACCGACCCGCTTTGACATTCCAGCTCCTACTGCTTTGTGAATGGGCTCTCCTGCTGCCTGGCTGGGTGGCCTAAGCGAGTCCCTTCACCTCACAGTTTCTGGTTTCTTCCTCTGAGGAAGAGAAGGGGGATGTTCGAACCACAGCTGATGCCTCAGGTCTTTGCAGCTACAAGCACCTCTGAATCTCTCCTGCGCGGGTTCTGTTTGGTTCATGAATGTCTGTCCTGTCCATTCACATCATCATCCCTCACTCTCTCCCTGCATGTGTGGTGGGTCCTCCCTTCTGTACATCATCTGGTGGGGGCACACACGAGAACCATGGGGCTCCTGGCCCAGGAGCCACGGTGAGGGGAACAGACCCCCAGGAGATGCAGGGACCTCACAGTGCCACTGGCAACCCCTAGTCCCCTCATTTCTCTTTTCACCCAATCTGATAGTTGGCCTGAGGCCGGAAGCCCTCCCTGCCTCTCTCGTGCCTTCTCCTTTTCTGCGTGAGCAGCCTGCCAGGGCAAACCTTGTCCCCTTTATGAAGTTACTGTTGGCCTCCACATGCTAGACCACCCACAGTGGGCCTCTAACAACCTGGGTTTTACCCCTGATGCCATTTGAAACTTACCTGGAGTCCAACAACCAACTGGGGTAAAAAGGCTTCCTTTATAGTTTCTAGCCCATGAGGCACTAGGCCCAAGAGGAATGAACACGAAACTGTGTAGTTAGAAAAGTAATATTTATGAAAGTCTAATACAGCAAATGCCATGTACACTAGCCTGGCCTTGGAGAAGGTAAGAGAATATATGTCGATGGGTGAGCCCATCTTTGATCAAAATCTGACTTTAAGCTTTTATTTCTTGTTCCCTTTATCCCCTGATCTTTTTGAGAAGACTGGATTCTGAAAGATTAGTGGTTTCTTTTAAAAATAGGGACAATTTAAAACTGTTGATACTTAATAATTTAGCTTCTTATAAAAGAAATCCAAGTGTTGTCTTCTGTGAAGAAGGAACTTCTAGTAAACCTCTGTACTGTTCCTCCAAGCCTTACTGTGTCACCTGGAGTTCTTGTTTCTTCATCTGCTTTAACAGAATTTGAAGAGGGTTGGGAACTGTGACAGGCCTTGTCTTGCTTTAGGCATTTGCTTTCTTTTGCCATAAAAAGAAAACATGCCAAATTAGCATGAGCAGGAAAGTGCCTGGAGGAGACCCAGTACTCATGAAATGAAGGATATGTTTTGCCCCTGATTTGATTCAACAAGTAAAATTGGTTTTAATGGGTCAATAAACTCTGAGGGTAATAAGCATCTGGCAGAGTTTAAGGCTTCCACGAGCTAGGTCCACGCAGAGGTGAGCGGCAAAGACGCCCGCCGAGCCTCTACGGGCTGCTCAACGGGCTCGGCTGGAACGGTTCTGCTGGGCATGGGCAAGGCCGTGGTGTTTCTTTGTTCTAGGTGCGGTGCTTAGGAGGGACAAGAGACAAAACCCAGAGAATAGTCCAGAAGCATCCGAACTCACGTAGACATCCAAGATCTCATTAGTGGGGCCTTCAGCCAAAAAGGACTCCCCGGCAGTGCTGGAGATCTCGTTGGGACGCTTGTAGGTGAACATCGTCCCTCCGCCCTCGTACTTCCCGGGCCGGTCAATGGCCCAGTTCCCGTTGATGATGGAACGGCCAGAACGACTTCGCAAGGCTGTGGGGAAAAGCAAGACAGTGCCTCGGGTGAGCCCAGGATGCGCACAAGGGAAGGGGCTGGCCCCCTGGTTACTGGCTTGCTCATTCGTCTAGGCCCTGGGGCAGGTGTAGGCATCTAGGTCGTATCCCCTCGGGCTTAATTGCTTCTTCCAGCCGCTCCAGTCCCTTCTGCCGCTTGGACTTGGAAGACTGGCAGTGGTTAGGAGAGGAGGGTGTGGGAAAAGAAGCAAGGAGAAAGGGGCAGAAGATAAAAAGGAGGGGAAGGGAAACTACATTATATCCCATTTTCTAGGTGAGAGGTTGCACCCTGGCGACCAGTAAGCTGATTTTGGCCCACGGATGGGCTTGGTTTGGAATTTGTAGTATTTTTCTCAAAGAGTAATTAAACCCATATTTAAGAATTGAGAGATATCACACAAAAAATTGGGGTCTAGCCTCTCTTGTAAAACAAAAAGATATGTTAAGATTGGCTCCACATTCCCTCATGGCAGCAATGAGCCGTATCTGAGGAGGATTGCGCCCGCTAGGTGGGACCTGTATGCTCTGGTTGCCCCAAGCCCCACCACTCCCTAATACTCCCCAGTGTGGAGGCTAAATCCCAGTTTATTACCCATTTAGGTATGAATATGGATTATTTATTCCATTTATGATCATGCTTGCATTGTTATTTTTCTTAAAGAACAGAATTTTTCTTACAGTTCTTTCTACTTGAATGCCTGTTAAAAGTGGCCTCGCTAAAGATAGGTCAAGAGGGTCACATGATTTCCTCCCACCCAATCAGCTTCAATCATTGATATTACCTTCCTGTCTTCTGCCGGCTTTGGAGGCTGTGAGCTATGTCACATACAGCCACATACACTGTCAAGATTAATCTCCATGACATGTGTATCCCCATCTTTCAGAGTGCCGTTCAGAGACTAGACAGAACTGGTTCAAGTTCATGAGGATGGTTAAGTGACCAGATGGTGATTTGGAGTCACACTTGGGATGGAGGTAAGAAAGGAGAAGGGTCAAGGACCAAGGCGCCAGGGCTGATGAGAGAAGAAAGGACAGCTTCTGAAAGCTGGCTTTCTTCCCTTAGACACTCGGCACCTTGAAACCCACATGCCAGTGCTCGCTTCAGCAGCACATACACTAAAACTGGAACAATACAGAGAAGATTAGCATGGCCCCTGAGCAAGGACGACATGCAAATTCATGAAGCAGTCCATATTTTTTGACCCAGTGATTCCACTCCTGGAAATTTACCTGAAGAAAACAAGATCCCTGATTTGAAAAGACACATGCACCCTTATATTTATTGCAGCACTATTTACAACAGTCAAGATAAGGAAGTAACCTAAGTGTCCATCAGTAGATGAATGGATAAAGAAGATGTGTTACATACACACAATGGAATATTATTCAGCCATAAAAAGAAAAGAAATTCTACTCTTTTCAACAACATGGATGGAGCTAGAGGGTATTATGCTCAGTGAAATAAGCCAGGTGGAGAAAGACAAATACCATATAATTTCATGTATTAATGGGATATAAAAACAAAGCAAAACTGAAGGAACAGAAGACCACAGACTCACAGATAGTGGTTATCAAAGGGGAGGGGTTGGAGAGGGTGGGTGGGGAGAGAGGGAGAAGGGGATTAAGGGGCACTGTAATTTGTATTCACGATATAAGTAGGTCACGGGGAAGGCAGCACAGCACAGAGAAGACAAGTGATGACTCTACAGAATCTTACTACACTGAGGGACAGTGACTGCAATGGGGTGGGGAGGGACTTGATAATATGGGCGAATATTGAAACCACAATGTTGTTTATGTCAAACCATCATAAGAGTGTATCAATGCCACTTCAATAAAAAAAAAAAAAAGAAGAAAAAGAATGCTCATGCCAATTGCAGATTGGGATTAAAGGAGACCCTGGTTTAAATGCCATGTACGTAGTGGGCCTGTGATGGTCACTGGCTCTTTGTATCTTCATTTTACAGAGTTACTACACTTAATTTTTTATAATGTATTATGGGAAAATTAGTACAGAAACAAAAATACTGAGAATAGTACAATAACCCTCCATGTACCTACTGCCCAGATTCAACAATTCCTAATTCATGGCTTATCTTGTTTCACTTTGCAAATCCCAGACCCCATTTATCCTTATATTTTCCTAAAATATGTCTCTAAAATATAAGGATTCTGCTTCCTAAGCCCATTTTCAGCAGCGTTTTTGCAATAGGCCTTCCCAGGCTTGCAAAGTCGGAAGCTGCTCGAAGGGGTGGAAGCGCCTCCAGTCCGGAGGTGCCTCCCTGCAGACTGTACCCCTGGCTGCTGGTTTCTGTGGCTACTGGGAGACCAAATATTGAATTATAAAATCACTGACTACCAAGTAATGAAATCAATTTGCCTTTACTGAGTGTCAAAGGAGGGTCAAGAATAGAGACTGAGGAAGAACAGATCTGGGGCTGTTTTCTCTCAAAAACTACCCTTATTGAGAATGGCCCACACACTAACTCCACCTCCTTGTTTCTCATCCATTTCTCGACCATCTCCAGTCTGACTCCTGCCCCTGTTATTCCGCTGGAACAATTCCAGTTAATGTCACCGAGACCTCCGTGTCGCTAGATCCAGTGAACATTTCCGGGCTCTCTCGCTATCAGACGTCTCAACAGCGTTCAGCACTGCTGACCACTCCATCCTACTTGGCACATTCCCTTCCTGGCTTCTGGGCCACCACACTCAGTTTGCATTATTCTCAGTCTGCTCATCTGTGTTTGCTTTTCTGTTACCTTTCTCTACTCATCCATTAAATACCAGCATCTCTTACGGACTAAGAATAGACCTGGTTTGAGTGCTGTACTCCTGTCATGAGCAATTTCATCTATGCCCAAGGCTTTAATTACTTATTAAATTATTTATGTTTCCAATACAAACTTTTCCTCTGGTTGCAGACTTTTATATCTAATTACGTACTTGACAGCTTCACTCAGATGTGCTGTCTGAGACTGAACTCATCCCTGACCTCTTTCAGGGCTTCTTATTTCCATAAATGAGCTCATGAGAAGCCTAGGGGTCACCCCGGACACCTCCTCCCTGCCTTATCCTCTATATCTGGTCCATCATCGTTGTATTTGCACTGCCCAATATTTCTTGGAGCCATCTATCCTCTTCATGCCCACTGCCATGATGCAGGGCCAAGCGACCACCCACTCTCATCCGGACTAACTCAAAATCCTTCTAATTGGCCTTCCTGGGTTACTTCTTTTCAGCCAGTTACCTTTTCAGAATGCAGATTTGATCACCAATTACGGCTCTAAATCCTTTAATGATTTTCTGTTTCTCTAGCAGTAAAGTCCCCAATCAGGAATGAAGTTCGAGGCCCCAGGCGATGGAGCCCAGCCTTCCCTGTGCTCTGCTCCCTGGCCTTCTTTTAGCTCCTCTAATACATCATGGGCCCTGCACCAGGCCGTTCCCTCTTCCGGAAATGCAGCCCCGGACCCCAAATCCCGTTTGTTCTTTAGAAGAACACTCTTCAGGGCAGTCTTCTCCCACCCGCCGTCGGGGCCTGACTCTTGTCTCACATGCTCTAAGAGATGCAAGCGCCCTTCCTTCAAGGCACTTACTTCAGTCCGTATATACACCTAATTCAGAACATAATTTGATTAATGTTTGCCTCCCGGTACACGGTAAGCTCCAAAAGGGCAAAGACATATTTCATATGTGCTAAATGCAAAAATATATAGTAGAAATAGGCAACAGCTCAAGAGATAGACAAAGAATGACAAATAGGCAATTAATAGAACACCAAGTAGAAATATTCCATGAGCAAATTAAAAATGCTCTACCTTGCTTAACAATTTAAGAAATACAAATCAAAAGCACAATGGGATAATCTTGAACCGCCAGGTTGGCAAAGATTTTAAAATTATTTAATACTGTCAGAATTGGCAGGTGTGTGAATAAGCATGCACCCATAACAGTGTTGCTGGGAGGTAAACTGATTCTATCATATTGGAGGGCTGTTTGGTGACATAGTTGAAGCTCTAAGTGCCCAAACACTTGACCTGAGAATTGTACTTCTAGGAAACAATTTGAGGGATATAATTCTATAAACAAACAAAAGTGTTTGTAACAAGGATATTCTTGGCAGATTTTTTTTTTAAATAGAAGAAAACTAAAAACAACTTAAATATCCATCAGTAGAGAATTACTGAAGTAAATTTTTGTACTGGATATCCATGGAATACCATGTGGCTCTAAAAACAATGGTCTAGGTCTGTGTGTGTGTATGGGAAGAACTCATTAACATATTTTTAAATGAAGGCAGAGTGCTGTGTTTTATTAATGTGTGTCTGATGTAGGACAGTGTGTTTGGTATGATCTCATTTGCATATACATCTAAATAAAAGCATATATATAAAACATGTATGTATGCACATGCATAAAGATAGTCACAAAATTGTTAATATTTGGGGTTAGGAATTGGGGTTTAGTTTGGGATGGGAGATGAGGAGGGAGACATTTATTTCCCACTTTATATCTTTTTACTACCATTTAAAATTTTTTACCATATGCATATATTACTTTCTTAAGAAATAAAAAACATTAAATTAATATAAAGGACATGGGCTTAAAAAAATTTAAACTAATATGAAGGACATGGTGCAAGTAGAAATACTCCTGAGGGATATATATATACATATTTTTTTCCCCTTTTTTTGCAGCTTCTTAAAATCTCATTCAGAGCATCAAAAGCTCAGAACTGAGGTAAGTTCTAGCTAAGATTGTATTGCTTTTAATGGCAATATTGTAGAAGAGGTTATTATCTGGAAACCAAAATGTCCATTAAAGAACCATTTGAAATGCTGTAAAAGAAAACTGCAAGGGCTTCCTTGGAGATAAACACTGGGACCCTGCGTCTTTTGCCATCTACTACTGTTACCCATGCATCCCCCTCTAAAGATTTAGAGAAATCTTTAACCATATACTAGCAAAGCATAAAAAAAGGCCCTATCAGATTTTCAGCAAATGTGGTCCTACGGGGTTAGCTTCCAAAAAAGCTCCAAAACTAGCCCCTACCCAGCCTTGCATATTGAAAGCAGCTCCATCTACAGTTTATGTGCCTGTAAGCGGTTCCAGGGCTATTCACGGTACTCAGAACTGCCCTGCAAAAACGTGCAGGTAGTAGTTGCTCTTGTACTGGGTGAGTTTACTCAAAGTCAAGCTTTGGCAAAGCCTTTTTGGAAGGCAACCTCACACTTAAGTCACTATGAGGAAATTTCCACTCTGGTTTGACATTTGGGTTTCATTCCACTTATAGTCGTCAACGTTGGGCATATATGTTTGGCTTAAACTATCTGCACCAAGGCCCTCCTCTAAGATCCATATAGGCATCGCTTACATTCAGGCTCGGCTTCTCATGCACTGTATCCCACAATCTTAATGCCTGTTGTTGACGACCAAACCATTGGCTCCCACAGCCAAGTAAAGAAGGCAGTTTCCTAACAGCAAACAGGTCATTGTGATCTAGACGTCTGATTTCTTCCTTTGGAAAATGAATGTTAAGTTCCTTCCACTAACAGAATTCCAAGCTTCTTAATGATTCGGCAGTTCTTCGAAGCTATTTGGGAAGTTTGCACAACAAACTCAAGGGCAAAGGGGTCGGACAGCACTGCTGCCCCCACGTTGCCAGGGCAGGTCTGCAGCCCTACTGTTTGGGGTCTAGTCTGAGCTTCCACAGAAGCCCACATGTCAGTACAAACCCAAGTGGGTCTCAGAATATGTCAGCTAATCTGGGTGTTCTGAAAATGGAACAGAACTATTTACTTCATACTTCCACATTAGAGGGGCCTGCCTGTCAATCACATCTTTATTTTAGCATTCCTTCAATTATAAGTGCAGACAACAAACTGTAATAGTATTAGCAGTATTTCTTTGCTACCAATAGAAATCATATATGTATTTATGTGACATTACAGATACCTTAAAATATGATTTAAAAGCTTATCACTATTTTGAAATTGTAATAATTATTAGACCCTCCATGAGATCCCTTATTTTAATGTTAAAGAATCACATGTTATTATATTGCAAATTTGTTTCCTAAAAGTATTTTGGTAATTCTTATTTCAATATAGTTGATTTCCTTTGTATTCTTCTGTATCTTATTTTAATGATTTAAATACAGTATCCCTAGAAGGTATCCACAGACTGCCAAGGGACTTCA